GACGGAGTGAGCCTCCCATAGGTAATTTTGGCTCACCTTGTCTTAAACAGGAACTGACATAGTCATTGCCAGATAGAATACTGATACCAATTGGTGTTAATAAAACCCAGAAGCCATGTGCGTATGATTGACCAACAGTTAACAGAAAAAGAGATAAATTAGTTTGTATTGAGCACCCACCACAGACCACATAGTGGCTGAATTTTTCCATAGTTTATCTTACTGACTCCTCTATTGATAGAGGGAAATTGACTTGCTTACAGTTGCCCAGCTAGTAAACATTAAAACTATTATTCTAACTCAGTTGTTCAGCTTCTAGTCCATTCATTCATTCAACAAATATATAAGAGAGTTCCATGTGCCTGGCACCAGTCTAGATGGTGAATAATGATGCACAAAACAGTGACAGACCTTGTCTCTTTCTTCGTGAAATTCAGCCTAGTCCTTTTCCATGGAGAACCTTCTTTGGAACTCCCCAAATGGGATGTGATGGCCAGGGGTGAGTCTTCAAACCCCTTTAGAAACAACTGTGATGAAACTTTTATTTCCAGACTCTCTATCTTGGTGATTTAAGCTTCTAAAATTCCTTAAGTTCTAATGTTTTTCAGTTTTCAACACACTTTCTTATTTCTTAAAGAAAGTGGTCTATCCCATATTATCTTTAAATATTTAAAAACGCCTTTATTCTTTCAAGGCTCCTTCTGATATTTATTTTAGGCCTTTTCAGGACTTGGGTAAGAGAAATACAGTGGCAGGAGCACCACGGGGTTTGGGTTCTGTCCTTGAAACCCTTGAGGGATGGCACTGAGCTAAAGAAGTCTCCAGATTTCTCCTTGCTGCTCTGGATCCAGACACATTTATCAACAGTGACCGCAATGCATAATGGAAAGGGTTGTCCATCATGAGAACAAAGAAAATGCCTTGAATATTAATTGCTAACATATGAAGATGGCAGTCTGGGGCAGTTCAGTAAAGGGACTGTGGGATAACTATAGCTTAGGTGAATATAATCGAGTGGTCAGTTCTAACCAAGGAAATTGATCAAGCAAACATTTTGAGAAGATGCTTTGGAATAAAATTCAGAATCCACGCTGTCAGCTGCCTTTCATTCTTGGAGTTTTTCCAGGTTGTTTATCCTCTCTTGGGTTGAGGAAGAGGTTGGTTTCTGAGCTAGGAGGATGAAGTTCTTGTTAGTCAAAGGATCACAGTACTTAATAAGTGGTTTTCCCTACCTGGTCTCCCCACCGCCAATGAGCAGCAATATTTGGCTGGAGCTCCAAACCTTGAACTAGCCACTTTATCTCACTAAGTCTTAGTTTCTTCATGTATATATTTACATGAATATAGGTATTTTTATATATATGTGCATGTGATGTAAAATGTATAGTATACGTGACTCATGGAATTGTGATTAAATGTAGAACTGAACACAAATAGAGTTTTATAAGCTCTAGAAGAGTAGTTCTCAAAACTGGGGACAATGTTGCCACCCCCCCGCCCGGGGGGAACATTTGAAACATTTGGGAGTGTCTGGAGACATTGTCGGTGGTCACAACTGGTAGGTAAAGGCCAGAGATATTGCTCAACATCCTACACTTCATAGAACAGCACCCCCCCGCACACACACCTGCAACCAAAGAACTGTTCAGCCCATAAGGTCAATGGCACGGAGGTTGAGAAATCCTGCTCTGGGGCACTGCATAGATATTGCAATTAAGTAATTGTGTGATCTCAAGGGGGCACCACATACCTCAGTTTTTAATATGTAAGATCAAGAAATTGCCTATCATAGATAATAGGATATAGTAACCGTGAAATTATAGAGAACAAGCACATGCCAAAAGTCAAAAGGAAACAAAAAATCAAAGGACAGGATCAACGTAATGGAAAGTGCTACAGTTTGGAAAGTTAGTTGGTACGTTAAGGGATGGGAATCTATCAACAAGCAAAAGCAGATGAAAAATATACAATTGTAGGATTTATCCTAAGGAAAAAGAAAAGAACGAGGAGTCATGTGCAGGGGTATTCACTGGAACATTGTTTGTAAAGGGGAAACACTGAAAAGCAAGGAGTGGAATGGTGATGCTGGTTCCTGTCCTGTAGCATTTCACGGGCTGGCTGAGCTCGTCCTTGTGACCCAGCACAGCACTGGTGTGTGTAACCCTCGCCTAGACAAGACAGGCTTGGCTGTCTCCTTGTTTGATGCTATAAGAAAGGCTCCTAGTGGTGAACATAGCATATAGTACAGAATGCTTGAATCACTATTGCGTACATCTGAAACTAACGTAATGTGGTGTATTAACTACACCCCCCCCAAAAAAGGCTCCTCAATCTGATGACCACAGCTGCTTTCCAAGGTAAGCCAAGGTCAAGCAGAGCTGAGGCATTTTCCCCTTCTCATCCCTGTTTCTCCCTTCCTCTCCTTCCTCCACACTTTCTCTGTCTCCCTGTTTGAGCCCTTCCCCTGCTTTGCTTCCAGGGACAGGAAAAGCCTGTAATCGCCTCAGGCTGAGGGAAAACAACAGTGAGAGAGACCGTGCACTCGAATCAGGACACAAGCCCTTCTCCAGGTCTGCTGGCTCCATTCACGCTGTTGTTTCTGAATGTTTTTCATACCACAAGTCTCAGCTAATATTTTGGCAGGAAACATGGGTCCATCTAGACAAGAGAACAGTAAGCTGTTTGCTGTGCAGTTAGGTAGCATGAAAAAGGTTTAAACACTTTGCTGTTGAAGTTCTGCTCTATTCATCAAGTGTTTATTTATGTGTGCCAAGGGGCCACAGTAGGCTGAGTGGGCCAGAGCCAGTGAAGACAAAGGTCCCAAGAGGCTTAGAGCTAGTTATGGAGCTGGGTGGTTGCCCAACTAATTGTGTGATAATCAAGCCAGACTCTAGAGCTTTGAGGGAGCAGAGAAGGGAGGACTTAATAATAACCAGTATCAATCACAAAGATTTCTTTTTTTTATTTATCTAAATTCAATTTAGTTAACATATAGTGTAGTATTAGTTTCGGGAGTAGAATCTAGTGATTCAACACTTACATACAACACTCAGTGCTCATCACAAGTGGCCTCCTTAATGTCTATCACCCAGTTAGCCCATCCCCCACCCACCTCCCCTCCAGCAACCCTCAGTTTGTTCCCTAGAGTTAAGAGTCTCTAATGGTTTGCCTCCCTCTCTGTTTTTAATCTTATTTTATTTTTCCTTCCCTTCCCCTATGTTCATCTGTTTTGTTTCTGAAATTCCACATATGGGTGAAATCATATGGTATTTGTCTTTCTCTGACTGATTTATTTCACTTAGCATAATACCCTCTAGTTCCATCCACATCATTGCAAATGGCAAGATTTCATTTTTGATGGCTGCATAATATTCCATTGTGTATATATACCACATCTTCTTTATCGATTCATCTGTCCATGGACATCTGGGCTCTTTCCATAGTTGGCTATTGTGGACATTGCTGCTATAAACATTGGGGTGTGTGTGTCCCTCTGAATCACTATTTTTGTATCCTTTGGATAAATACCTAGTAGTGCAATTGCTGGATCATGGGGTAGTTCTATTTTTTAACTTTTTGAGGAACCTCCATACTGTTTTCCAGAGTGGCTGCACCAGCTTGCATTCCCACCAACAGTGTAAAAGCGTTCCCCTTTCTCTGCATCCTCACTAACATCACTGTTTCCTGAGTTAATAATAAAGATTTCTGATTTCTGATAGGAGGTGAGGACATCTATATCCCCATATAAATACGTAAATGTCAATTGAATTGCTATTGAAGAATAAACTCAAAAGGCATTAAGGGTTGTGATTAACACATCTGGACTTAACATCAGGAAGACCAAGGTTTTCATTCTGCTTCCAACACTTACTAGTTACGTGACTTTGGACAATGTTACTATCATTATTATTATTATTATTATTATTATAGCTTTCCAGTCCCATCTAAAAGCTACTAGATATTAAGAGCAGATAGTAGCCAGGAAAGGGAGAGCAAGCATAAAATATACTGCCAACTGGAAATAATCTAAGAAAGAGAGCCAAATGCTCTATCATGGAGCACTGTTTATAAAGGTGAAAAAATGGAATTGAGGGAGTGGGGTATTATCATTATGCAGTTTCTCCTTGTGTAAAAGGAGGAAAATAACAGGATCAAACCTGAAGAGTTAAATGAGTTAACTATGAGTAAGCCTAGCATATAGTGAGCCATTGTTAGGATTTCTGTGATTACTACTATTTAGTTATATGTGCATGGAAAATGTTAGGAAATCTTGGAGGCTATATTTTTGGGAGTGGAATAAGAAGACAAGAAATGAGGGATTTATACTTTTTACTTCTTACTATTCTCTTTTTGATTTTTTAAGAAAGATTTTTATTTAGTTAGTTAGTTATATCTTTTATATATAAGACAGAGAGTGTGCGAGCAGGGGTAGGAGCAGAGGGAGAGGGAGAGAGGAGGCAGACTCTCCTCTGAGTGGGGAGCCCGACAACACGGGGCTCGGCTCAATCCCAGGACTCTGAGATCATGACCTGAGCCAAAACCAAGAGTCAGATGCTTAACCGAATGAGCCACCCAAGCGCCCCTCTCTTTTTGATTTTTAAAAATGGAATAAATAAAATCTTAAAAACTATGGTACTGGACTTCTCATAATTTATTTTATATGATGTAAGCAGTCAGGATAATTCAAGCTGTGAATGTATGGGACTTTGGATTCAGGAATATAAAGGTGTGACGTTTGATTCTGACCCCTGCTGATTAGGTTATTTTGGTCAATATTAAGCTCTTCAAGCCTTAACTTTCTCATCTGTAAAATGGGTAGAGTAGCACCTACCTCATAAGATTCAATGCTATAATATAATGTAAGGGTCTTGCATGTGCCTTATACATTGTCAACACATACTGGTTTACTATTTTCATACCATCCCGTTATCCCTCCTACACTTTCTTCTCATTTTCATTGACTCTTCTTTAATCACCAGACGAAATTCAAGTTGACCTCAATGGACAATAGCACAGAAGCCACAGAGTTCATCCTTTTGGGATTAACAGATGACCCTAATCTTCAGGTCCTCCTCCTCCTGGTATTTTTGTTCATCTACCTCATTACTCTGGTTGGGAATGCGGGGATGATGGTGATCATCCACTCAGACCCCCACCTCCACACTCAATGTATTTCTTCCTCGGTAACCTCTCCTTCGTAGACCTGGGTTACTATTCAGCAGTAGCCCCTAAGACGGTGGTCACCCTGCAGTCAGGGAGCAAAGTCATCTCCTGCAATGACTGTGCTGCCCAGTTCTTCTTCTTTGTGGGTTTTGCCACTGTTGAGTGCTACCTTCTGGCCTGCATGGCCTATGACCGCCATGCAGCCATATGCCCGCCTCTTCATTACACCACCACCATGACAGCAGGTGCGTGTGCCCTCCTGACTGTTGGCTCCTATGTCTGTGGCTTCCTCAATGCTTCCATTCACACAGCAAACACGTTTAGACTCTCATTCTGTGCTTCTCATGAGATTAATCACTTTTTCTGTGACATTCCTCCACTCTTGGCTCTCTTGTGTTCCAACACACGCATCAGCAACTTGGCTGTCTTCTGTGTCATGGGCTTCAACGTCCTTTTCACCCTCCTGGTCATCCTCATCTCTTACCTCTTCATATACATCGCCATTCAAAGGATGCATTCTGCTGAAGGACGGAAGAAAGCCTTCTCCACCTGTGCCCCCACCTCACTGTCGTAACCATCTTCTATGGAACTATCATCTTCATGTACCTACAGCCCAGCTTCAGCCAGTCCATGGACATGGACAAAATCGCTTCTGTGTTTTACTTGGTGGTGATTCCCATGCTGAATCCCTTGATCTACAGCCTTAGGAACAAAGAAGTAAAAAATGCTCTCTGGAAAGTACTCAACAAACTTTATCCCAAGTCTGTGTGAATAGGAAGTAGGCAGGTAATGGAGGGATAAACTTTCCCCCAGACCTCGATGCCATCGCGACTTCTGAGGTTTGGCAGATTTCAGACCTTTCTTCTCCAAGAACAGTGGTTACTTCTGCTACTTAGAGAAATCATGAAAGCAGCACTTGGAAGTGTCTCACTCAGGGAGATAATCTTATATTTAGTGAATAACGACATTGGACATTTAAACCCTGCTTGCACTAGTTTCTTGATATGATTCAAAGCAGAAGATCAAAGCATAAACTGAATCCACTGAATTTCCTTTCCCTAATTTTAATTGGAGGAAATTTCCACTCACCGTTAAAATTTGTGTAAGGATCACATCTTCATTGTATAATACTTATCAGTTGAAATGCACAGCATTATGCTTTCCATCTTTGGTCCATGTGTTTGAAAGTTGAAGTTTCTTATGCAGACAAAAGATGTTTTAATATTTTTAATAATTTCTCTAGAAGGTTTTAACTCAAAGGACAGGGCACTGGACCCAGAGTCAGATGACCCAGCCTTCAATCCTTCAAAACCCCCAACCCACATCCCTGCTCACCCATTGGTTGAGCACCTTTGTATTTTCCGGCTCCTTCTGTTAATGTGTTGGGACAACTTTGGTAGAAAACAATAAGCCACCTTTGTATGTAACAGTTTCAGTAGATGAATTGTTTAAACGTTAACCCAAATCAACATATCTTTCTTTATAGAGCTTGCACTCTGTTCCATGCTTTTGGCCTTTGTCTAACATAATTACCAAAGCTTGCAGAAGGTTTGGAGGAAAAAGCATTTCTTTTCCAGGGGCTATGTAAGAGGAGATTTGTCTTCTGAATTAAATACTTGCATTTCTCAGCACCCTTAAGTTTGGTGAATCTATTATGGGCACACATAATAGCTTTCTGTGCCCTCTTGGCTTCTGTTTTTTCAATAATTCAGTTCCCCTCTGAATCCCTGTTGCCTTGTGATGTTCTGTAATTAGATGCTGCAAGAATAAAAAAGCTTGTAGAAATGCACTTCCTAAATAGGAACAGCACAATGATGCACAGCCCAAGTCCAAGTCTACCTTCAGGTCTTGTTTTGTGTGCTGGATGGTATCCGCGAATGTGTGTGTGTGTGTATGTGTGTGTGTGTGGTGGGGGACCGGGGGTGGGGTGGTGGTGATTAACTTTACTTCTCACATATCAGTGTCTTGATGGTGTTTGTAGCCGCAATTAGTCTAAGTCACTACATATTCCATGATATCAAGATCTCAAAGACCACAAAACAAGAATTTTTATTTTAAATGAGAAAACCAGAAATTTTGGTGGGCTAAATCAGGGAGCTCAGAAAGTCAAATTAGTTTTGAGATTATCAAACTCATTAGGCACAGGGCAGCCTCTGTTTGAGGAGAGTGGATCATGGGGCTTGTGGAGAGAAGAGTGAAGAGGGAATTTTGGAACAGAGGCTGACCTATAGGAGAAGCTTCCTCTAGCACATGGCCACTGCCACCCAGCGCGACCAGGAGCTTCTCCTGGATCCAAGGCCTTGACTACCTGGACCTGCCTCATCTGTCCTCCTGCCACCCCCCCTTAGCAGGGTGGCCTCTGGAGCAACACACATAGAAGAATAGTCATTAAAGACCAGCATCCACTTCACATGGGAGCCTTCTCAGTGACTTCCAGAAGTCACAGAGCTCATGGGCACCCAGACTTGGAAGCAGGGAGGACATTTTGGTCTGAGCTCAGCTCCTTTTCCTACTTGATCCATATAATCGACTTCTTTCTTTCCTCTTCTTTCTGTTCCTCCTTTTCTACTTCCCCTTTTCCCTTCTCCTCTTCTTCTTCCCCTTTCTTTTCTTCTCAACCCCTTTCCCTCCTAAGCTGTTGAGTCCCTATGAAAAATCAGATTTTATAGTTTGTGTATCATAGCTATTACTGTACCTAGTAAGGCATATTTCTGGGTGTGTTCCTTTGTGCCTCAACACCCCAGTGTGGCAGAAACATGTATGGCTCTTCTAAAAGTTAAAGGCCTGATGCTTATATATTTCCCTTTCCTACTGAAGTCCTCCCCAATTAGTGTGACAGGTGACTGCCAATGGGTATAAGAGAGTACTAGTTCTGGTGTCAAGAGATGATGAAAATCCTTACTCTTCTTATCAGGTGTCAAGAAAGCCATTTAATCTATCTGACCTCAACATCAAGGTTGAACTGTGAAGATGACAAAATAAAGTATTTGAATGTGCCCGGCATAATGAATGCATATTCGAGACAGTGGAGACTCCTATGCTAGTTCTCACTTGGCTGTCCTCTTGCTCCCCACTTTTGGCTTCTGAGCTCCCTCCCTCTCTCCACCCCATCCAAGTCCAAGTTTTTATTTCTAGCCATTGCTTAACTTCCTTTCTTCCAAGCTCCCGGTTCTACATCAGACACATTTCAAGCTGATATTACATGAGTATTCATTTACAGAAGCTACCCAGAAGGAGACGGCTTGTCGCCAACAAGACATTAATTTTCAGAATCCACATTCCTGTGGGGAGCTTTTCACTTCCACATGGGAAATCTGTCAAATGGAGACTAAACGCCCATTTGGTTATTAACAACTCCCACCCTCTCTCTGCAGGGATGGCCTGATGAATGGGAGGCAGTGAGTAAGGCTCATGGCTCAGGAGAGTAAAGGCACAGGAAGATTTCCTTCCTGAAATGGCCAAAAAGAGAGTGAAAACACATCAATAAGGACAATTATTTATATCGGGATAGATTACCCCTTTGAAAAAAGGATTCATGATTGAATTATTCTAAATACGAGACTCCCTTTGTGCATTAGATGATTTGCTTAGCTTTATGTATGGGGAAAGGAAAATGAAAATATTGAGAGTCTTTGACAATTGAAGCTAACATTACAGAGTCATAACTCTTTAACCTTCAAAGAGCCTTTAAAAATAATCTTGACCAACCCTCTCATTTTACAGTTGACAACCCTGATTCCCACAGTTTAACTTGCTTCAACTCACAGAGAACCAAGTCTTATTAGACTCTTATTCATCCTTTACATTGTATAAAGTTCTTGAAGTGTCAAAAGACATTTTTACATTTTTACTTTCATTTTTCACCACGAGAAAGATTTTGTGCTTCAGTTTTGCAATTGAGGAAACTGCAGTTTTGAGAAGTTGGCTTACCTGCCTACTATTAACAAGAGGATTCAAGATTTGAACAGTAGTCTTGCCTTCCCAGCCCAATTCTCTGAGAAAGAATAAGTACCCTTATATTCTAGTAAGTTTCAACAGAGGACTTATTTCATTTATAAATCATTTACAGACAGTCTTTCCTGATAGGTCCCTGCAGTGTGGAAAGGCGCTGTGGAGAATACAAACAAATATAAGACTATAAGATATAATTCCTGCATATATGGTGACCGATGCAATGCAACTTGGAGATTAATGACTCAGTATTCAATAACTTTGTCAGCAGGAGTTCTTCCTGGCTGCTACGGAATTTAATGGATCAGAGCACATTTGTTTTCAGCCTTGAGAGTGGGAGTTGAGTCTGCAGCCCACAGAGAGAGCAAGCCTCAGCCAATGTTTACAGGGCACTGAGCACAAGCTGCAAGAAAGGCATGGCGTGAGATCTGTGAAGGAAGCAGGCCATAGTCAACGCCGTTCTTGCTTCAGAAGCAACTTGCAAACAGTGCAGTAAAACAAGGCACATGCTTCCAGACATCTGGCAATTTGAGGCATTTGTGGTCATGGTCAAGTGAGCAGTATGGAAAATAATAATTAGAACTCTTCAGAGATGAGACAGAATCCTGTGGGCAGGGAAAGCTCCTTGGAGGAAGTGGAACTTGAGCCAAGTTCTGAAGGGATAATGTAGAAAGAGCCCAGACTTCAACAGGGGAGGCTTAGCTTCTAGTCAAAACCCTACCACTTACTAACTGGGAGACTAGCAGAAGTCACTTGCCTCTGAGCCAACTTCCTCCTCATCAAAGCGGAGATAGTAGCAGGCCAAACGTTCCTCAGGGATGTTGTAGGGTCAAAGGAGATAATGGATAGGGAAGCATTTTTAAAGTTGCTACCTCTCCCTAATGATAGTATTGCTACTGACAATGAAATTATTAGCAGAGCTGACTGGGGAGTTTCTGACCAACAGGGACCGGCCTGAACCCAGGAATGAAGATGGGACTGCACATGGCAGGAGCTTCTGTTGGCAGAGGCTTGTAGGAAAAGTAAACCACTCAGATATCAAGTTGACGGGCCACCAACTCCTCAGTCCTTTACTTCTGCGGGAGTTAGGACTTGTTGCCATCCAGCTGGATGAAGGGCCTGGGTCTATGAGAGCAATTGTATCCCTAAAGACAAATCCCTTTCATTGCAAAACTTCTGTAGGATCCTACCACTCAACTACTCAGATCCAAGTCCAAGAACCTCACCTCCTATTCATGACATGAGATTTCTCTGTTGTTGGTCTGTGATTATTTCATAATGTGTGTGTGTGTGTGTGTGGTGGGAGGTGGGGTGGGGAGAAGGGGGCTAGTTTTTATAGTATATTGAACCAGCAAAAATTTAGTGTCTACACATGTGTGTGTATGTAGGTGTATATATATATATAAAATATTAAACATATTTTAATATTATATATATATATTAAAGCTTCTTACAAATCAGTGGGAAAAATACAGACAGCCCAATAGAAAAACACAAAATTGAATCACTCAGTATTTGTTCACGTTGATTTTACTTATCTCCAGTTTGGGGAAATGATGAACACTGCTGATGTGAACTTTTTATCATGAGTCTCGGTGCACATATGCATTCAATTCTCTAGGGTATATGCATCTGAATGTGGAACTGCTGAACCACAGGTAAATAATATGGCACTAGTTTTGAAAGTAGTTGTACCAATTTATATTCCCATCAACAGTTGTGAGGTCCCACTGCCAACACTTGGTATCACTGGGGTTTTAAATTATGCCAATCTGAAAAGAGGTTAGTGTTTTTTTATTGTTGTTTTAATTGTATTTCTT